TAGCCAAAGCCTACAGCCCAGCGTAGCCCAGGCCTTCAGCCCAGGTTAGCCAAAGCCTATAGCCCAGCGTAGCCCAGGCCTTCAGCCCAGGTTAGCCAAAGCCTACAGCCCAGCGTAGCCCAGGCCTACAGCCCAGGTTAGCCAAAGCCTACAGCCCAGCGTAGCCCAGGCCTACAGTCCAGCTTAGCCCAGAAGTGTGGTCTTGGTTAGTTTATCTCCCTATAAAATAATTAGTGCCTTTAACAATCTATTCACTTTCTGTTCCTGCTTGTCTTAGGCTATGGGCACAAGGCAGGGAATAACCCAGGATGGGGCACCAACCCATCACAGGGCACACGAAGACCGACCGGCAATTTGCCAACTCCAATTAACCTCAGCATGATTTTAGATTGGGGGGGAGGGAACTGGGGTATCAAGAGGTCAAGCCCACAATGACCTGAGGAGAACATGCACACTCCACCCCCACAGAGCCATGGCAGAGACTCCTTGCCCCGGCCGTGTTTCTGGAGAGCCACACCTGCAGAGAGAAGGTCAGCTGGAGGTCGGTCTCCGTCAGCCCGGCCGAAGACAGCAGGATCTCATTGGACCTCAGGATCCGCTTCGAGCCCTTTGTAGGGAGACACGGAGCCGCTGTGACAAACTCTGAAAGCCAGGGCAAGGAAACAGCACCGAGAATCTTACGGGGGGGGGTGTCGGTAAGTGGGAGGTCACCTGGAGCTTGACGGCGATAACCACCGATGTCAGGTCTTTGTCCAGCTCCTTCAGCATAACCAGCTTCTTAAGCGTCAGGTTGAAGAGCCTGCAATGAGAAGGAGGGCTCAGGGGCGGCCGTCTGCTGACCTATGAAAGCCGCTTTCAGAAGCCCTGCAGGCTGTAGGCAGAAACGTGTGGAATTTCATCAGTGCTGTAAACACCAAGGTGCTGTTATACTCCCAGTGCGGAAATGAGTGACGCCGGTGGATTAAGAGCTCTGCCAGGTTCAGCAACAGCCCCCCACCCCCATGAGGCTGTCAGGACACTAAATAATACCCAGCTGCCTATCTTACCCCCTACCTGAAAACAGCCCCCACCCCCCCGAGGCTGTCACGACACTAAATAATACCCCGCAGCACATCTTACCCCCTACCTGAAAACAGCCCCCACCCCCCCGAGGCTGTCACGACACTAAATAATACCCCGCAGCACATCTTACCCCCTACCTGAAAACAGCCCCCACCCCCCCGAGGCT